CTGGGAGAGAGTGCAGTGGGAGGGAACTTTTGAGACTTGGATATCTGAAAATGTTTTTCCTACTCTCACAATTCATTGGTCATTTTGTTGACTATAGAATTCTTGGTTGAAAATAATTCTCCTTCATAATTTTTAAGACATCGCTCCACTCTGTATCTTGTTTTCAGTGTTGTTGTAAAGTTCAAATAACTATATAGGAAATGTTTTTAATTTTTCTCATTTCTACTTGGGTTTTAGGTGCAGTTTTACGTTCTCACATCAAGGGCCATTTTCTTTTTCTCCGATCAGTAGACCACAAAATCCGCTCTAGCAAATAATTTTGTTTTATAACCTGTGTGTGAAAAGGAATAGATAGCTTTCTTCACTTAATAGCTACACGTCTCACTCCCCTGTACATTAGCCTGAGGGCTGGGGTTATTCCAATTTGTGCCTCATGGGGGACTTTTCTGGGTTGACGGAAATGTTTTTTTATATTAGTTGGAGTAGGGATTATATGGTTTCCAACCACATACTGAAAGTCTGTGCATTTGACTGTATGTGAATTTTACCTATGAAAAAAAAGGTGCCTCACCAAAACTGTCATTATGTAGCATGAACCTTTAGAGTTATTTGCAAACATTTAAGACAGAAAGTTAAAGCTGCAAACGTCACAGAGATATTGTATGTACTGTGTATTTTTCCTTTGTGCTCAATAGTTATTTCGAGTCTATTATTTATAGGTTGTCATGGGTTTGCTTATTGAGAATTTAGTGTGGTATTAGTGAAAACAGTATAGTTTTTATCATTAAGTAACTCATATCCACAACAAAACTTTGGCTCCTTCTCTGACCATCCAAATTTTATTTTTATAGTTTTGGCAAACCTTGTTTTCTTATTCTTAGGTTCTTAAAAACCACCATTTTAATGTTTTGATAATGAGAAATCCACAGTATGCATTTGGTACAAGCTCTTGAAAATAGCGCGGTATACTGAAAAAAGGGATTTATTAAGAGATCTAAAATTCTCTCAATAGTGAATGAGTGAAGATGTTAGGTTAATATTATGGGAAATCAGAAGAGAGCTGGGTTTTGGTTTTTTTCACCTTTCCATTTATTATTTTGTAGGTACAGAACTGGAACAGTGAAATTCTTGCTAAACAAAAACCTCTTATTGCCAAACCTTCTGCAAAGCTACTCTTTGTCAACAGACTGAAGGGGAAAAAATACAAAGCTAATTCTTCCACTAAAGTTCTCCAAGA